CTACACTATTTTACTCATTTGCACGTGCACGCACGTGCATGATGACCATACCTTCTTGTAGGAGTCTATTATGTCTGTCTATGTTCTTAATCCCATCCTGTTTGGTTGAAAAACAAGGGAGTTATAACCATTTAAAGTTTAAGCCAATCAGATTGCAGCGCACGTGCATGCGCGTGATTTTATGACAATTATTATATATCATATTGTAGGACATCTTAAGGTATGCTTATGTTTTAAATTTCAAAGCATTTTGTGAAAAAACAGAAAAGATATTGAGATTTTTGTTTCAGCCAATCAGAGCAAAGCATGCACGTGCATGCATGTGAATGGTGACCATATATTGTAGGAGTTTTTTATGTCTATCTATGTTTTAAATCCCATGCTGTTTGGTTGAAAAACAAGGGAGTTATAGCCATTTAAAGTTTAAGCCAATCAGATTGCAGCACACGTGCATGCGCGTGATTTCATGAAAAATTTTATATATCATGTTGTAGTACATCCTAATGCATGTCTATGTTAAAAATTTCAAAGCATTTCATCATAAAACAAAAAAGATATTGAGATTTTTGTTTCAGCCAATCAGAGCAAAGCGCACGTGCATGCGCGTGAGTTCATGCAAATTTGACAGTGTCATAAACATTATCTACACAATTATATATCTTTATATAATGAGTTTCAAAACATTTTATCAAAAAATATAAAAGTTATAACCATATTAAAATATATCAGTCATTTTCACTCATTCACGCGCACGCACGTGCATGCGTATGCGCGCAAAATGACCTTCGTTCCGCACACCTACACTACACACCTATTAACCCTAAAAAGGTTTTAACTCAGTTTGGTGAACAGTTTCTGAGAACACTTCCGGACAAAAAAGTACCGGAGAACAAATAAGAAGAAAAAAGAATAATAATAATAATAACTAGTGCTAATTGTAACGGGGACCGTTACAGATGTTCCCCAAACGCTCCCCATGTCCCTTATCGTGCCTTATTCCTCTAAGACCTTTTATAAATATGCTAAGTATCCCAAGATTTCATTTAAGAATATAAAAGTTACAATGATATCAACTATCAACGATATATTGTTTAACGTTTTGCATGCGCGCACACGTACATGTACATGCATATGCAAGATGATTATGGCATGTTGATTAAGCGATTAACATATCTTTCTATCCCGCGAATCAAAGAAAAAAATACATATATAAATTTACCATTTTTCAAGCATATGTCATATTTTTAATATATCGATTCACATTTTATTTCTCTACTTATTTTAACCTCGGGCTCAAAGTTGGTTTTATTCCGACGACAAGGCAGGGTTAAAGTCGACTAAGGGTATCACGCCAATACCTAACCAATCAAAATGAACTTATTCAATAGTAGTTCCATACATGGAAAAGGGATTTTCCTTTCTGTTCAGAATTTTTTAAATATTTCCTCTCAGGCCATTTTGACAACTCTGATACCTGTGCCTGGTAAATTTTATATACTTTGTAAATAAATATATAAAGGTTTTTTGACCGGAACTATTCATTTTTTCCAATGCATAGGGGGCTACTCTCTGGGTTTTACAAGAGATGTTTAAAAAGACATTCGTGTCAGCTAATGTGACCTATATTGTTTAACACCTTCTTATTAATATTTTTTTCATGAATGCAAATATCTGATTATTTTACGAAGGAGCGTACATGTATATTGATTTTTTAATATACCGAAAATCGCTATTTCTGGGGATTGCGTAATTCTAAAAAAAAATTCAAATAAATTTCAAAGGTAAATTAAACAAAGGATGCTTGGTATTAAAATATTATTTCAAATCAGTAGAATCGAATGCTATTAACGACATCTGAATAAATAGGCTATAAAAGGCTTATATGCCAACTTTGGTCATCTGCACTTTAATTTTAAACACGACAGGATTTGTAATTTTTTCTGTATAAATTAATAATTTCTATATACTTTGGAAACTCAAATGAAATATTTTAATACACTTTCCTCGAGCTCTTTTCTGCAGTTTTCCTGAAATTTTATGTGGGTCCGAGGTGTTATTTGAGTTTAACAGTGATTCTCTACGTTGCCATTAATTTGATTTGTTTGTATGTGTGTGTGTGTGTGGGGGGGGGGGTATTTTTATTCTTAACCTATTTAACGTTGGAGTTGAATCTTGTATCTTATTCCAAGAACTTAAGATTGATTGTGACATTTGGATGAAAGGTCAAGGTCATTAAAAACCACCACCTCTTTAACTTCTAACCTGTCAACCGAAATAAACTCTGAAAGGTGTTTCTAGATACATGTACATGTACTTCATGTTTCTTTTTACCCTTGGGTCAAGGACAAAGGTTAAGGTCGATTTCAAGTTCATAGGTCAAGGTGATTTTGGTAAATAGTTAATATCAACATTTTATTCAGGTTACCAGTGACCTTGACCTAAGTTTCAAGGTCAAGGGTAAAAAGATCTGCATGCTTCAGTATGTTACATGTCTTGACATTTAGAAGTTCTTAATTCTGCATGAACATCAAACACTCAAGTATACTGTCTTTTAATACATTGTGTGCGGTCGCATGTGCATGCACGTCCATGTATTTACTTTTGATAGTAGTATAATGTAGGCAATCATTATATCTATTCATATTTGAAATTTCACCCTGTATTATTGAGAACCAAGAAAGTTGTAGGCATTTAAAGTTTTAGCCAATCAGATTGCAGCACACGTGCATGTGCGTGCGTTCATGATTATTCTTATATATCATGCTGTAGATCTTCATAATGTAAGACTATGTTCAAAATTTCAAAGGATTTTGTCAGAAAACAAAATAGATATTTAGACTTTAAGTTTCAGCCAATCGCAGCGAAGGGCACCTGCATGCGCGTGAGATCTTGCTATTTTGACCATGTCATCATGTCTATACTACTATTATATCCTTATATTATGAGTTTCAAAGCATTTCATCCAATATTTAAAAAGTTACGGCTAAATCTATTATATTGGTCATTTCACGTGTTACACGTGCGCGCACCTGCACGCACGTGCGCGCAAAATGACCTTCGTTCCGCACATCAACATAACATACCTAGTGACCCTAAAAAGGTTTCACCTAGATCGGATGAGTAGTTTACGAGAACACTCGCGGACAAAAAAGTACCGGAGAACAAAGAAAAAATTCAGAAAAAGTAAAAACAATATGTTCCCAAACTTCGTTTGGGGAACATAACTAGAAGAGAACTCGTTGCGAGCAACGAGTAGGTCTTCCGTCCGATTTTTCTATGTGATCAAAACGTTAATGACAATCATGGCGTTGCCTTATTCTATCTGAATAGTTTCAAGATGCCCATGAGTAACTGGTGATGCAGTTCTTTACCAGATTTACCCCCTACTTGCAAATATTGTGCCCCTCGATCTACCCTTCCAAAGCCCCATCTTTATTTTAATGATTTAGAATCTACACTACCCCAGCATGCTTTCTTCTAAGTCTCAGCTTTCCTTGCCCACTGGTGCTTGAAAAGAATTTAACAATATATTTCTATAAAAATAACAATGACTCCATAATGTGCCCCTCCCTACCCTATGTGGTCACGATTTTAAGAGAGTGAGATGTATTCACAAACTTAAAAGTGGGGGCTCAACTCTAGATATTCTTTGAGAAGCCCCCCCCCCCTCCCCTTCATCCCTCCAAAAAAGAAGAAATGTTCACTTCCAAACAAGGAAATCCTATCATAGTACCGATATTTCTTTTGCCACGTTCCTTTGTAGGGAAAAAAAGAGGGGCTAGACCTACGAAGCAATGTTCAATGTCTGTACTAGTTATATATCTGGGGGGTTAAATGGTGTCGGGGTGGGGAGGTTAGCCCCTGGTGATCTAGCACTCCGGTTCCAACGCCAATAAGCAAAATTAAATCATTATGAAGTTGGAGTTTTCACAAAATGTACTTTGTGACTGTGTTAAACAAGAAATGCGATTCAGCAAATAGATAACGACTTTCAGATGTCAACATGCATGCGGAGCAGCTTGTGATTCTCATTTAATTTTCTTAATAACAGATGCTGAGTGAAACAGAAAACGGTTAAACTTAAATTTATGACCCCCACTCTCTATCTGAAACTGGGGAACACAAGAAGTCTTGACAGATTTAATTACTATATTACATTACTATATTATACAACTTATTACTTCAAGAGTAATGCTAACTCAGTTGTAATAAAATGTTTTTTTTTTCATCAACACAGCTCTGATTTCTGTTCTGCATAAAATGGGGGGGGGGGAGGGCAGACAATCCCCCCTGATCTGAAAGGGAAGGGGAGGGGGGCTTGTGACCCTGCTGTCCCCCCTTTGACTACACCTATGATGAATTAGCATCTACACCACCCCAGGATGCTTCCACATACATTAATTTCAGTTTTTCTGGCCCACTGGTTCTTGAAAAGATTTTTCCTAAATATTTCTATGTAAAACTTGGATTTCCTATTGTGTCCCCCATCTACTTTCAGGGGTAATGATCTTCACAATTTACACTTTTTAAGATGCTTCTATGCAAGGTTCGGGTTTTCTGGCAAGGAGGTTTATGAGAGGAATTCTTAATGACCTTATCCTATTTTTGTATTTTCTTGATTATCTCACTTTGGAAGGAAACCTGGCCTTCAATTTTCAAAATTAAATTTCTCCTTCACCAAAGGATGCTTTGTACTAAGTTTGGTTAAAATTGGCTGCTCATTAGTTCTTGAGATTTTGAAAATGTGAAAAGTTAACAGATGGACAATTGGTGATCAGAAAAGCTCACTTTAGCTTTCAGTTCAGGTGAGCTAAAAGTAATCCAAGTCTTTTTTAATCTTCTTGAATAAGATATTTTCCCCATAATTTTCTCATCATGTATCTTGAGAAAAGAAATCCCAGTTACCTACCAATCATTTATTTTTTTACCCCTAGTCAGAAGAGGGCAAGGATAAAGATGATCTTACCTGTGCTCATTTATTTTGCATTAAAGACAACATATTTGATAGCTTTTGACGTTTATTGAAGATGTTGTCAATGATAACAAAATTAGTATGCATTTTGTACACATTTGAGTATAATATTGAAAAAACAATTTTTTGGCCCATATTGAAAGGAATACATAAAATCTAGCAATGAGCAAACAATGTGCAAGGTTTGGATGTTGTGTTATTAACAATGAAAGAAAAATAACAACCCAAAAAATATATGAATTTCTTTTTAAACAGTGTAATGTCTGTAAAAAAAAGTACAAGAGATATTGAATGTACTGGATTATGATGACACAATTTTAAAAGAAAATAAAATGATGGGTATGATGGACAGCAAAATATAGTAGACTTTTGAGTTGTTCAATAATATGCTTTTTAGCCTATTTACCAGTTGTTCAAACATAGGTAATCCAAGATGACAGAGCTCACTACATTGAATGTTTCCTTAAGTAAGGCAAATTCATACAATAAACCAACAAAAAGGTGTACATCCAAAAATACAAAATGTATGCAATTTTGATTTGATACTTTGGTATAGACCTATTTAAAAACTTAAAAGTAATTCTTCATCTTGAAAATGTGTAATAAAAATCCAGCATCTGAGGCAAGTTTGAGAGTTTTAATCCCTTGATGCATCATCTGTGCAAGTTTGGTTTATATAAGCTTTATAGTTTCTTGGTAATAGACTTTCATCCAAAACTTTTACAAGGTCCATTATCTGGAAAATGTATGTCAAATTTATCATGTGAAGGAAGTCTATAAATGTGCATCCTAAGGTGTTTTTTAGATGCAAGTTTGCTCAACATAGAACTCAAACTTACTTGAAAATGAAAATGTGTAAAAAATAACCTTTTCACAAATAAAGAAAATGTAAGTCAGATTCAGCATCTAAAGCCAGCCTGGTAGAATGCATCCTTAGATGCATCATCCATGCAAGTTCGGTTATTAAGTTGCTCAAACTTACTTTGAAATGAAACCTGTACCAAAAATGTTAACCTGTTCACTCAACCGGAAAATGTAGGAGAGATTCAGCATCCAAAGCAAGTATGGTAGTATTTATCCTCAGATGTTTCATCCATGCAAGTTTGGTCATAGGGCTCATAGTATCTTTGAATGAAATGAAAACAGAACCAAGAACTATAACCTGTTCACACAAGCAGAAAATGCAGGTCAGATGCAGCATCTGAGGCAAGTCTGGTAGTTTGCATCCTTAGATGGATCATCCATGCAAGTTTGGTTAAAATACTGCTTATGGTACAGTTGTAAATGAGGAAGATCTTTCATGGATGTCTGATCAATATAGGACTTAAAAGTACTTCAACAGAAAACTGCTCCAATAAACTTTACCTTAACCCAGGATGATGACGGTATTACATAAGCTCCCCTAATTTCCTTGAGGTGAGCTAAGAATTAAAATAGAACATTTTTGTTTTTTAACATAGTAAACAAACTAAAAATATCTTGAAACATCAATGCTTGATGAAGGACATCTTGCTGTCAGAATGATACACATATTCATACAAGTGAAATCAGGAAATTTTTGTCTCCTGCTTAAGGAAACCAGAAGTCTCTGTTGCTCTTTCACTCTTCGGTCACAGTTGTGCTGAAAAGTATACATCTTATTTAGTCTAGCATATTAAATGGATCATTGTGTATCATTTTTTATATCATAAATTTAATGCATTCAGTGCACATGCACATGCAACGTGATAAGAAACATCAAAGAATTGTGGTTTTCCCTATGGTTCAGATAGATGCCATACTGTAACCATCAATTTTGTGTGTTCTTCAAACTACTAGATGGATGTCATGATGATATACCCCTCTGAAAGTTGTCAAAGGTAATATATATGATGTATATGTAAAATATGAAAGCCTTATCTCCTGTTATTGAAAGAGCTGTAAACAATGTTTATAAACTTTATTAGAACAAACAGATCACCAACACTTCGTAAGAATGCACATGTAAATTTATTTTGGTTTACCGGTTTCGACCAGAGACGGTCGTCATCAGAACGATGTTTATAAACGATGAAAGTTAAAAACCAGGGGCCACAGAACTCACCTGAGCACATCGGCTAGGAAAAAGCAGATATTGGATCAGAACTGAAATTTTACTGAGTTTGAAGGGGGGGGGGGCTTGAATTTCAACCCACCACCAACCAGGGGTTCATGATTTGAACAAAATAGAATCTACACTACTGAGGATGATTCTACATGCGTTTCATCTTTCCTGGCCTAGTGGTTCTTGAGAAGAAGATTTTAAAAGATTTTTCCTATATATTCCTATGTAAAGTTTGGGTCGGCCATTTAAGTCCCACCGTAGCCCTGGGGTTCATGATTTGAACAAACTTGAATCTACACTACCTGAGGATGATTCCACATGAGTTTCATCTTTCCATGTCTAGTGCTTAAGATTTTCAAAGATTTTCCATATATATTCCTATGTAAAACTTTGATCAGTCATTTTTTGCCCCACCCTACCCCAGGGGGTCATGATTTAGGCAAATTTGAATCTACACTTTCTGAAGATGATTCCACACGAGTTTCATATTTCCCAAGTTTCATATTTCCTGGCCCAGTGGTTCTTGAGAAGAAGATTTTTTTAAAAATACCATTAAATTTTCTCCAATTCATAATTATCTCCCCTTGGAAAAGGGCATGGCCTTTCATTTGAACAAACTTAAATCCCCTTCACCCAAGGATACTATGTGGCAAGTTTGATTGAAATTGGTTCACTGGTTCTTGAGAAGAAGATGAAAATGTGACGAGTTTACAATGACAACGACAATGCCAACAACAACGACAGATGACGAACAAATTTAGCTAATAAAAGCTCATTTGAGTCTTTGGCTCAGGTGAGCTAAAAATTAGGTTCAAGTTAGAGGTAAAGGTCACCAGGTCAAAATAGCAGAGGTAAATTTGTATATATATTTTTAAACAGGTAATGCAAATATGTAATCTTTGATCAGAAATGTGCAATGTTAAAATTGTTGAAAATAAATTAAAATTCATACTTATAAAAATTTGATCACTTATTGTGACCCTTCCTATCCTATAGGTTCATGATTTGAACCAACTTTAACCTACCATATATATTACCTGAGAATGTTTTGATGTTCTTTAAAGCTTTTTTGTATTAATTCCTGATTGAAACTTTCATTGTAAATTGTGTGTTATTTCTGATGCTTGGCATTATGAAATGTACAATAAAGCTTCCATATATAATTATAACTTATCAATGTTTTGCTGCTCTTTAGGAAAATTTAAAATAGTGCATTTATTCAAGTTTTCTTGTGTATTTTAAATGGTTTTAAGAATTTGAAAGAATTTTAAGTAAAATTTATATGACTAAAACTTATAAATATATCCTTAGACAAATCCCCCCCCCCCCTGGACACCTGCCCAGAGGGTCCTGAAATTATCCAATTTGAAAGAGGCACCTTTCTTCATGATAAGGCCAGCTTTTTTTTAAATCTTAGATTAGTTATGAACATCAGAATGAAAAAGTTCTGAAGGAGGAGGAAATAATTTTTTTTTTAAAACTAATTATTGACATTTCCCTGAACAATTCTAAACAAACTTTTTTAATTTGGCTTAAGTAATGATACACTCTAACATCTTTTACCAGGTATATGATAATCAGTAAAGTTTTGTCATAGCTGAATGTATAAATAAAAAACAAATAGTGATAAAGTGAAAGAGTCTGACAAAATAAGTTTTCTTAAAAGTTAAAGTTAAAACTTACAGTGACACAAGCTTATTGCCTTTTCTTTCTCCTTTGATCACTCTGTTGTCTGTGAATTCCCCACTGGGAAAGATCCGATCCATGTCTCTATCATCCACAATTAGGAATAAATCCTTAATCAAGATAGAATTGTGATCTCTACAAGAAATAATTTTCATTACATGTTAATGTGCAAGCTATGTAAGGAAGATAAGGTGTTTTTCACCCTTGTCCATGATTTGAACGATTAAGCTTGCACTTAATATTACGACTTACCCAAATCCTCGGGGTCATTATTTGAATGATTTAAAATGTAGAATACCTCTGGGAGTTTTCAAAAGAATTTCAGTTTAACTGGTCCAATTGTTTTTCTGGAGGAAATGCTTACAAATGTTCCCTATCATATATATTTGAATGTGAAAGTTTCATTTTGTAATTTGGTGCTACTCTCTCTTCGAGGGCCCTGATTTAAACAATTTTTCTTCATCTCTCTTTGGAAGGATCAATGGTTCGCTTTTCAATTTTATAATTTAGAATGTCCTTCACATAGCAATGACTTGTATGGAGTTAACAGATAGTATTCAATCTCAAAGCCGATTAAACAAAATAAGAGCAGAGCAAACACGGACCTCCGAAACATCAGTCTCAAGTGAGATCATGTGCTATGGAGGAGTGAGCATCCTCTGCCAACCGGTCACACCCGCTGTGTGCTCGTTGTCATGATCAGGAAAAAACAAGGGGAAAAAATGCGTCATCAATTCAGTGTATAAATAATGGACTAACTATTGGTATGAAAAATGTCTGTCAGCATTTGACTCAATGATAAATTGTATTTGCTGAAAAGATCATTCTATGAACCATAGAACTTTAAAAATGACGATTTTAAACTAGCCTGCTGCGATATTCTTGTTTCTTCACCTTGCTTGCCAATAATTTACCTTGTTTAAGAAATTGTTCATATGTAGAGCATGCTCTTGTGTCTCAAATCAACTGAGATATATAGTAGAGACCCGTTATTACAATGTTCACTTTGTCACAGTAAAATATCGTCAGGGATGTGATTGGCAGAGGATGAAAAAGGAGGAAATGAAATCAGTCGGGGGTCTGGGGGCCGTTACAGGCCCCCAGTGGGTGCAGGGCAGCGCCTTGCTGGGGGGCCCAGGGGGGCTTCCGGAAGCTCCTGGGGTTTCACATATTTTAGAGCTTAAAATTTTATTTCTAGAGATATCTGAGAACCATTTTTTGACCAAAAAAATGAACTCAAGTTAAAATAACATTTAAATCCTTGATTTATTATCATGCAATTTCAATTGACAAATTATTGTTTTAATTTTCTTCTTTCGGCCAAAGCCTTGATAATTCGTAATCTTGCTTGATTGGCCTGCTGCTTGACTTAGGCTTGCAGATCTTTTTCTGCTTCTGCTTGAAGTGTTAACTTAACTTTTTTATTCCGATTTATTCACTTGTGTTTTTCACTTGCAACTTATTATTCCTTTCTATTTCATCATGATTTCTCTGAAATATCCATTACTGCATTTAACTTGAACACACGAGTCCAACAAAAATTTGTTTTTAACATTTTTGTCAATACTAGAAACATCTCCACTCCTGTCCATGCTCTCCATGTTTTTCTCCAGTCTTTTTACATCGTATTACTGAGACCTGGTGATTTTGGACAATGTAATAAACAGTTCTTTTTGTATAGATTTGTTAAGAAATGAATTTGTGCTTTGAATTTACAACGTAATAAGCGTTCTATCGTATAAAACTGTCACCGTAATAGCGGATCTCTACTGTATATCCTCCTTATGCAGGTGATGAAGGTATATTGCTGCATTAGTAAGGGAATCAAGGAAATGGAGATAACGAACAGTAATTAATCTAAGAACTACACAAATTAAAAGCATACCAAACACAGACCTCTGAAACATCAGAGGTGGGATCAGGTGTCATGGAGGATGCAGGAGTAAGCATCCCCTGCTGATCAATCACACCTGCTGGGTGCTTGTCATGATCAGGTAATTAATTTGGGAAAATCTGTATCAATAAATTTCATGAATTTTCTTCAAATCTGGGCCGTTGGTTCTTGAAAAGAAGTTGAAAATGTGAAAAATTTACGGATGAATGGACAGACAGACAGACAGACAGTGATCCGAAAATCTCCAATGAGCTGAAGAAGTTGATGTTAATTTGTTATAATGTACGTTAGTTAACGTTATAAAATTTTAGGTATACATACAAAGAGAACACAACTTACGCTTCAAAAGATGCTGCATCGACTTTACCCTGAACACTTTCATTGTCTTGCATAGTCTGTGAATAAACATTTAAATTGTTCATTAATAACTAATATATGTTATTACTACATGGCAAATCATGAAAGGAAAAAACGGATAAAATCTGGTAGTGTTAGAACCTGACAAATGCCCATGAACACTTCTGTTTACAATATTGTACATTTTATGATTTATTAAAAATACTATAGGACTATAGACTATTAAACATGAAAACAAATTATGTTTATTCTTTAAACTATAAAATTTGTACTTATAACAAAGGAAAAGTAGCATTTGTAAAAGAAAATTGCACAGGAGTTTCAAAACCTTGCCAACACCATTCAATTTGAAATGAGAATCGAATATCTCAGAATTATGCATCAGTGGAGTTTACTTCTGTGCCAACGAAGTTATACAAAAATTAGATTAAAACTGAAAGAGTAATAGTATTTTGAAAGCATATGCATTATTTTACTTGATAACACATTTCAAGTGTGATGAGTATAGGCATAAAGTAAATATGAATATAGTCCTAAATTAGTATTTGATTTAATAAATTTTTTATAAGTACTTACTTCAATTGTGGTGTTAACTGTTGAGTTTAAAGATATTTTTTCTTTATAGAAGTCAACAGCCATGCACTTAAACATAGTAGTTTCCCCCACGGTTGGAACAAGTGTAACTTTTTCGCCCCACAGTTTGATTTCTATTGTTATGTTGTCCTCTTCGATTGTAATTATTTTTCTGGTACTTTTCTCTGTTTGCAGGATTGACGAGACCTAATTAACAATATATCACACTAAATAAGATGATAAATGACTTTTTTATTTGCAAAGTTAGATGCAAGTTATTAATATAATAATGATGCTTAAATGCAGGTAAATTATGAAAGAGTGAAAAAATCATTTTCTTCAACACTTTTCTTAAATGATACATCTTTAATGAAATGTTAAAGCTTAGGAAATGAACAAGAAGCCCACGGGCATTATAGGTCACCTGAGCATTATGCAACAACTTTCCAGTTTGATTCTCTATTAATTATATAGTAAAAATACATTAAATCTTTGAAAATGTTCTTGTCTGTCTCTGGGTATGAAGCAGATGAACTACCTATATAGTCATAATGAGCAAGGGCCCTTATCTTCATGTTTTAACTTAAGCCAGATGATGTATGGCATTCACAATTTTGAAAAAGGCACCATTGATCATCATAACAGTACACTTAGAAGTTGCTAAGCTTGGTTACTGAATACCCATATGCAGGGTAAGGGAACAAAAATGCATTCCAACTATAATCAGGAATATTCAGCAATAATCAGTAGTGCCCCTAACACTGTGACATAAACCCCTGACCCTAGGTCCACACATTGCACAAATTTTGAAAAGGCACTCTTAAAATTACCTATCAAAAAGAAAAATAAATGTGTTATAATTACAAAGGAGCAGATTTCAAACAATAAATTCATTTTCAGTATATAAGTAGTAGAGCCCCCCACCCCCCCACCCCTGACCCACGGTCCTTGAAATTCACAATTCTGCAAGATAAGGGCCCTTGCTCATTATGACTATATAGGTAGTTCATCTGCTTCATACCCAGAGACAGACAAGAACATTTTCAAAGATTTAATGTATTTTTACTATATAATTAATAGAGACCCGCCCTAACATCAGAACCCCTGACCCTGGGGCCACAAATTCATAATTTTAGAAGATTCATTCTTGCTCCTCATAACTATGTACTTAGTTGGTTTATTTAATTCGTAGGAGCAGAGAAGATTTTCAAAGTATTCACATATTTTCACTATATAATAAATAGAGCCACACCTTAACACCAGAACCCGGCCCTGACCCTTGGACCATTAAATTCACAATTTTGGTAGAAGTACTCTTGCTCATCAAAACTATGTACTTAGTTGGTTTAATTAATACCCAGGAGCAAAGAAGAAGATTTTCAAAGAATTCATGTATTTTCACTATATAATCAATAGAACCCACCCCCACCAGAAGCCTTGACCCTGGGGCCATAAAATTCACAATTTTGGTAAAAGCACTTTTGCTCAACATAACTATGCACTTAGTTAGTTTATTTAATACCTTGGAGCAGAGAAGAAGATTTTCAAATTATTCATGTATTTTCACTATATAATCAATAGAGCCCCACCCTCCCCCCAACACCAGAATCCTTGACCCTGGGGCCATAAAATTCACAATTTTGGCTAAGACACTCTTGCTCATCATAACTAAATACTTGGTTAGTTTATTTAATAACCAGAAGCAGAGAAGAAGATTTTTAAAGAATTCATGTATTTTCACTATATATACTCTATAGAACCATACCCTAACACCAGAACCCCTGATCCTGGGGCCATAAATTTCACAATTTAGGTAGAGGCTCTCTTGCTCATCATAACTATGTCCTTAGTTGGTTTATTTAATACCCAGGAGCAGAGAAGAAGATTTTCAAAGAAATAATGCATTTTCACTATATACTTATTTAGCCCCACCCTAACACTAGAACCCCTGACCCCAGGGCCATGAATTTCAAAATTTTGGTAGAGGACTCAATGCTAATTACAATAATGCAAACAGTTTGACTGCTTGATGTCCAGGAGTAAAGAAGAAGATTTTTAAAGATTGCATTAATTTTAGTGGTTTTGGCCATACCCCTCAGGCCCCAAGGGGTCAGGGATCATGAAATTCACAATTTTTGTTCCCTTTTAGCCATAGATGCTTTGTGCCAAATTTGGTTGAAATTGGTGCAGTGGTTGCAGAGAAGAAGCTGAAAATGTTCAAATGTTAACACACGATGGACGACTGACGACGACGGACGAAAACGGATGGCAATAGGTCACCTGAGTTTACTCAGGTGACCTAAAAATAAAGAATAGTAGATTCATAATTATGAATACAAGTGTATCTCAAATCAAGAAATTAATCAAAAATTCTTTCATTCATTTAAATATACCGTATAATCCCTATTAACCGCCCCTACCCCTATAAGCGCCCCCTGGGTCTTTTTCAATTGTCAGGAAATAAGGGCCCCCTTTACAGTGATCAAAATCATCCAAAATCGTATCAAAAGTCCGCCATAATGAGGAAAGTGAAAATGAAACTTTGTTATTAGGTAACTCGTACACAAAATATTCTTGAAGGTAAGATTTTTAGAACGACCTAATCATGTATTTCTGAAAGTGAAAGTTAAAAATACAAGTACAAATTTGTTCTCCTTGTCTATTCCCTAATTTCAAAGTGGGAAAATGAGTCATATAGCATAATTTGGGTGGATTCTTATAGTTTAAAGGAAGGTTAGACAACTTGTAGTGATTCTCTGTTATTTGCTTTATTTTTTCAAAAGATTTCTTGAAGTTAAAATATGACATACAAATTTTCAGTCAAAATAACCGCCCCCTTTCCGCAATTTTCTAAGCGCCCGGGGCGGTTAATAGGGATTATACGGTAAACCCTTTGTCTTATAATAGTTAGGCCGAAATAAAATATAATGTTTCCTGTCACCCGACTTACTGTACATTTTACCCTCTGACCCTTATTTTTTTTTTAACATTTTCAGATTTTGGGGGCTATTTTTTTGAAATAATGAAGTCGACCAACAATATTTACAGACCCAACACATCAGAAGTGTAAAGGATACCTCTACTTTATAAATCTTCATTAACAACCTTGCTAAATGTAAATTGTGAACATACTGTTTTCGATCTTGTTATTATACTGCTATATGTTCTCCATTCATTGAGTTTTGAAAATAAAGTTCTTTCTCAAAATAATTTTTTTTCCTCACTACCTTATTTTGTTTGGTAAGGGGTTAGGAAACAAGATTATTTTTCGTTTTGGCCTTATAGTAATGCAAGTTGAATTCTTACAGAAGATTTTCTATTGGGCACACAAGTTATATAATGAAAGATTTTGCAGAAAGTACGTACTATGACAAAGAAAGAAACAAATGTCAGATCTATTTTATATATTGGAAGGAATATAATATATTTTATATATCAAATTTTGAATACAGTGACAGCTAAAATTCTATGAAAGGAATTTCTTAAATTTTAGGACCATTCATTATGAACATTATGAATCACCTTGGTAACGATTCCTTTCACCGTAACCCTGGAAGGGTGTCCTTCATTTTTGAGGACTTCTGCTAATGAAACCAATTTAGGTTTCGTCCATGTTTCTACCAGTGTTTTGTCTATTGTAGGCATTCCAGTGTTCATGACCTGTAAAAGCAAATTAAAAAGGCAATGAAGATTTAAACATATACAAGTTCCTAAATCAGAAATCTGTTATACATAATGTATTTAATTGCAGCAGTTCTGCAATAGTTTAACCATGAACCAAGAAAGAAGATGGGTGAAAAAGGCAACCATAGTGGCCATTAGTGTGACAAAGATGAGCTGAAATATGAAATCTGAAAAATTGATATATGAAAATTTTCTTCAACATTTCATTTAACATTAAAATAATTACTTTGTGCAAGATATGTACAATTCAGAAAAATCCCAGGAAGACTGAAATACCTTAAAAGTGCAATTTGATGTTAAAACATTTACATTTTTTGAGAAATAATTGAAACCAATTTATGAAAGGATCATATCACAAACCTGATTGAAATGCCACAACTGTTCATGAGCCACCCCTAATAATGAGTACTTAATTGTAATACTAATAATGCACAGATTGAATACATATTTATTTGAACATGTGAGGCAAATAGGTATTTTGGACATCTTAATTGTTCTCCCCATCTTCCTAATTATGATATTTCTTAGATAAGGAGAATGCAGAACTTACCAATGAATTGTCTGTGAGTTTTATAGTGCCATCTTCCAAAATTTGATATTTGTTAATCATTAAAGGTTTCATAGCTTGGCATAAATTGAAGTATTTCTCTGCCTGAATAATGAGTTGCTGTATTTTTCTGAATTGTGTGGTTGCAGTTAAAATGGACGTTATGCCATAAGCTTTGCCATCTGTGTAACGTCTCATATCAAGAACCTCAACAGGGACGATTTTCATAGGTCCCCCATTCTGTAAAAGCAAGTATGAAAATGTCAAATCTCTTCATGATTCTGTCTAGGAAAATGTAATGTTAATCTAACCACTGGTTCAGAACAATTAATTCCTAAATGATGATATATGTAAAAAGCTTAATTAATGCAACAAGAGGTCCATGAGCCACATCACTCACCTGAGCACTGTGGCTAGGAGAAATTAAAATTTGGTTTTATTATTGAAAAGTTTATATCCCAAAGTCCCACGAACAATTATGGCTTTGCTATTCTTGAGAAGAAGATTTTTAAAGAATTTTCCAATACTTATATCAATGTAAAACTTTGGTTGACCATTTTGACCCCTTCCTACCCCTGGGAGTCATGATGTTAACAAACTTGAATCTACACAACCTGAGGATGATTCTGTATAAGTTTTATCTTTCCTGGCACAGTGGTTCTAGAGAAGAAAAAGATTTTTAAAGAATTTTCCATATACCCTTACCAAACTGATATGTTTGCTGCAGGCCTGCAGCAAGTCTGCTGCAAGCTTGCAGCAAACAAAATTGTTCGCAGGAAGAAAATTTTCTTGTTCGCAGATGATTGCCGCTAGCTGCGATCTTGCGGCAAACATTGCAGCAATTGCTGCAAGCTTGCAGCAAATTCGCAGGAACCCAACATGTTTGCAGGAACATTGCAAGAAACATACATGCCAATTTAATGTTCGCAGCAAGTTCGTAGGAAACTTTTCTCTATTCAAATGTTTGCAGGAAGTTCGCAAGAACAGTAAACAATTCAAATCAGCCAATGAAACACAGATTGTACTGGGTCAACACAAAACTGGCTATTCTGAAATGATGGAAGTTGTACACGTTTCAGTATTTTGTTTGGAATATATATCGGTTTGAATGATTAAAAGTGTCAAACTCTGGATGTAGGTGTTCATGCATGGATTCTATGAATGATACCTAATTGGTAAGAAATGATTTTGATTTATTTTGATATTTGAAAGAATATTTCTTAAAAGCACGTTTGAGTAACTGGTGTAAATGCTAGGTCAAATTTAAATCTGTTTTTTTTTAATGAATTTCAGTCCTCTTTTTGATATCACATGTGTATACTTCTTAAAAGTATTAATGGACCCAAATCAGTTAAATCTTATGAAATTAATTAGTAAATGTGTAATCACAAAAATGTTCATCAAAAATTATAAGTAAAGTTCTTAAAGTTCTGTTCAGATAAAAAGCTATCATGCACTTTCATTTTAAAAAGGTATGAATATTTTGTCTAAGAACGTAAAGAGGGACTATCATAACTTCATAAAACTGCATCATTTCAGAAACATGTGGTGGATTTCCTCTCAATTTAACAGATTTAGGTCAGGACAAAGGCTTTCTGTGAACTTGCTGCTTGTACAAAGGAATGTGCCAAAACCATAAGGAAATTGTTTGCTGCAAGTTAGCAGCAATGTTTGCTGCAAGCTTGCTGCAATGTTTGCTGCAAGCTTGCTGCAATGTTTGCGGCAGGCTTGCAGCAATGTTTGCTGCAAGCTTGCAGCAATGGTTGCGGCAGGCTTGCAGCAATGTTTGCTGCAAGCTTGCAGCAAGGTTTCCTTATTTGGAAAATCCATTGTTTGCTGCAGACTTGCAGCAAACCTCTTTGCACGGTAAAATGTTTGCAGTAAGTTTGCAGCAGACTTGCCGCTAACTTGCTGCAAACACCAAGGCTTTGTATAGACTGTCATGCTTGCTATGGCTACATTGCCGCAAGCTTGCAGCAATGTCTGCTGCAAGCTTGCAGCAATGTTTGCTGCAGACTTGCAGCAAATATTTGCAGGAAGGCAATATTTTCGGTAAGGGTACTTCTCTGTAATACTTTGGTCGGCCATTATGGCCCCGCCCTACCCCCGGGGTCATGATTTTAATAAACTTGAATCTACACTATCTAATGATGCTTCCATATAAGTTTCATCTTTCCTGGCACAGTGGTTCTTGAGAAGAAGATCTAGATTTTTAAAGAATTGTCCTATGTTTTTCGATCAATGTAAAAATTTGGTCAGCCTTTGTGGCCCGCCCTACCCCCAGGATTCATGATTTGAACAAACTTGAATGTACACTACCTGAGGATGCTTCCACATTAGTTTCACCTTTCCTGGCACAGTGGTTCTTGAGAAGAAGATTTATGAAGAATTTTCCTATATATTTCTATGTTAAACTTTGATTGGCCATTGTGGCCCTGTCCTACCCCCAGGAGTCTTGATTTGAACAAACTTGAATCTAGTACACTACCTGAAGATGCTTACACACAAGTTTCATCTTTCCTGACACAGTGGTTATTGAAAAGAAGAACTTTAAAGAATTTTCCTATACTTTTTTGGTCAGTCATTGTGACCCTGCCCTACCCATGGGGGTCATGATTTCAACAAACTTGAATCTACACTACCTGAAGATGCTTCTATTTAAGTTTCGTCTTTACTGGCACAGTGGTTTTTGAGAAGATTTTTAAAGCATACCACCAAATTTTTATTAATTCCCAATTATCTCCCCTTAAATTAGAACATGGCCCTTCATTTGAACAAACTTGAATTCCCTTCAGCCAAGGATGCTTTGTAGCAAGTTTGGTTGAAATTAGCCCAGTGGTTCTTGAGAAGAAGTCAAATGTGATAACGTTTACACACAGACAGATAGCTAGACAGACAGACAGACGGACGGATGGACAGACGGACTACAGACAAAGGTGATCAGAAAAGCTCACTTAATTTTGATAGATGCACTCTTGTTCAACATAACTATGTATTTAATAGTTAGTTTATTTCAAATAACCAGAAGCAGATCTAGAAGAAGATTTTTCACTGAATTAATGCATTTTCACTATATATATAATCAATAGGGCCCCACCCTTACACTGGAAACGCTGTCCCTAGGGCCATAAAATTCACAATTTTTGAAAAGGCATTCGATTCTTCTTTGTCATAACTGCATGTATATGTTCTTAGTTTACTAAATACCCAAGAACAGAGAAGAAGATTTTCAAAAAATTAATGCATTTTTAACTTTATAATCTATAAAGCCCTGTCATAGCACTAGGTTCCCTAACCCTTGGGCCATGATTTTCTCAATTTTGGCAGAGGAATCAATGCTCATTTATACATTCATGCCAACAGTTTGCCTGCTTGATGTCCAGGAGTAAAGAAGAAAATTACAATAATTATAATTTAAGTGGTTTTATCCCCACCCCTCAGACCCAAGGGGGGCAGGGACCATAAAATTCACAATTTTTGTTCCCCTTCATCCAGGAAAATATCTTTTAAGGATTTTCTCCACATATTCCAATTAAAAACTTTGAAAGTCCATTGTGGCCAAACCCTACCCACAATGGCCATGTGTAAAACTTGAATCTTAAGGTCAGATGACACGTTCCTCAAAAATATATAGTTTTTCCTTAGAATTAGTAATTTAAGCAAAGGTATTAAAACAAGTATCCTCACAAAAAATTAGGGTACCTTACCAGGCATTTGGACAAGATATCACAGGGTCATATTTCTTATATAACCCTTATGGGTAATCTTATGAATGGCCTATACCACAAGTTTTGGTGTACTTATATTTAAAAACATTTTGAAAACAATATAGAAAACAGAAGAGAATACGAATATGAATAGTTTTTTTATATAATATTAAGAGATACAAAACATAAATTTGAAGAACGTGTCATCTGACCTTAATTCAGTGCCTGAGGATGCTTCAGTATATAAATAAACTTCAGTATATAAATAAACTTATAAAAATAAAAGCATAGATGTGTTTGACGGGGAAATTATATATTTTTGAGATATTATACACTCTTACATTTTTTTTTTTCATTAAAAAAAGGGGGGGGGGTATTATCCATACTTCAGGTGCTTGTGGTAAAATGTTAACCTTAGTCATAATTCTGGAACAGGTGTAGCGTTTTATATTTTGCTTTTCTTTTGATAAGGCCTTACTTTTGGTACCAACATATTTGATCTGCATTTGAGAAAGCTTCACCCTCGCTATGTTATTTTATGGGGGCATCAGTGTTTCACAAACTCATTTTGTTCTTAGTGTTTTGAGAAGTTGATCAAAATATAAAGCTTCTGTTAAGATATACTCGCCTCAACCTTCCTCTTTTTTGACTCTGACATGATCTCTTCTACAATATTTGTCATCTGCTACTATGCTATGGCTTGGATACCTTTGGCGTGGTGCACGATTCGTCTGTTCGAAACCCGTTTTCGGACTGTGCAATGAAAAATCACTAAGGGGTGTTTTGGATAAGAAAAATGAATATATTTAATATATACATTGACTTACTTGTGATTTTATTCCATAAAATGACACAAATACGTTTTTCTTTACAAATATTTTGGATATCGAAGATAAAGGGGAAAATATTCCAAATCTTATATATATATTTTAAAGTTATCGCTGAACTTATCACCTCTAAATATGGAAGGTTCCATTTTCTTTGTCTATTTTTTCCCGCTGAAACTTCGTGGCGGGAAATACTTCGCGCTAAAATGTCAATCGGAA